AACTTAAACCAGATAGACAATCCAAGTGGCAAAATAATAATAGATTAAATTTAGACAGTGAGGGTGAAGAGGTTTACCACAGTTCACGAAACTCACAAAACAGTGACGAGGACATAGATTTCCTCAGTATAATTAAAGATAATGACATTTTATACACAATTCAACCGCGTTACGGTTACGATTATGACGAGGAGTCAGAAAATGACGAGGAGTCGTCCGAAGATTTCTTAAATGACGAGGAGTCGTCCGCGAAATTCTATAATGACGAAGAGTTATTCCGTCAACACAAAAATGAAGAGAAGGTTATTCGTAGAGGCAAAAGCGACGAGAAGTCGTGCCTGAAAGGCACGTTTGACGAGGAGTCAGCCGGAGATTATTTCCGCATCCCTGAAAATAAAAATAAAATTAATAAGGTTGATAATTCGCGTGTAGTAGTAAGTGACAACGAGTCACAATTTAATAGTGAAAATGAAGAAGAAGACGTATACTTACCTAAAATAATAATTCCATCCTTACATCCATTGTATCAAAAACAGCAGGAAGCGTCAGTCAATTATTTAATAAGTCTAAAAACAGAAGTGTTAGATATCGCACATTCATTAAAATCGATAACAAAAAATAGTCCGCGAAAGTTTGAAATGTTAGAAAGGGTAGACATATTAGAAAAGAAAGTTGTGGAGAAAAAGAAAGATCAATTAAATTTTGTAGAAATAGAGTTAATAGAGAAGTTAGAAAAGTGTATAGATTTATTGAGAAGGGGATTAGTGCAGAACGAAAATAGCACGCAGGATGCCCGAAACTTTAAAAAAGGCGTGAGCGTGGAACCGGAAGCTCCGCTGGAACCGGCTCCATCGGTCGCTACGGAGGTCGAGATTGTGGCCGAACCCACAAGGAAGGATCAAACACCGGAGAGAAGCACTGAGGAGGAGATCTACGGTAAAGCGCAGTGCGCTGTGGATATGCTCAGCGCATTTATCTCGGAGGAGGCCCGGAAGGAGGAAGAAAACACCGGCATGCAAGATGAACAGCAACCGGGTGATCGGGCCAGTCCAATTGTGGACAACGAATAACGAGATTATCGTAACATTTTACTTTAAGATTTTATTTTCAAAGTATTATGATACTAGTCGGGTCGCTAGTCGTTAATTATTTTATTTTATTTTATGCGTTAATTGCGAAAACCATAGATAAGTCATTTATTTTTACACACGATGTTAAATTCTAGCGTAACCCACTGTGATGATTATTATTATTATTTTATGTAAAATTGTGGATAAAACCACATATCCGGCACGAGTAATGTGCAATCTAAAAATGTATGAAATATCATAGTTTATTTTATAACCTAATGTAAAGACCCGTTTGGGCACGTGATATTATATTTTATAAAATGTTATATTCAGTTTAGAGGAATGAATGAAGTATGCATGAGTGCCAAATAAATTTTAGCCATTGGAATAACCCACAAATCCAGATTCGTTCCTTAAAAAACATAAAGAAAATCATTATTAAGAAAAAATAGAAATTTTAGTTTAGTTACTTACCTATTTTCCACGGTAGCTTGGGGGGATCTTAAAATGAGAAAAAGATTATTATTATTATTATGATTTTACCACAAAACAGTTAATTTTGATACTTACCAGAGATCGATCCACATTTCCAAGTAATACCTGAAAAGGAAAAGAATTTCAGTTAGTGTTATGACGATCAGGGTATAAAAGACCCACAATGAGATACAGATTTAATTACAAAGTGGATAAGCCACAATTCCTTCTGGAAGGTTCTAGAAGCTTCTAGAAGAAATCCACAAGTTATGGAGGGAACGAATTTAGAAGCTAATGCGCACCTTTCTTTCCGGAATTGTGGAAGGAAGGGGAACGCGCGAGAGTGGGAAGGCGTTGGCTAAGTGGGGAGGTATATAAGCCGTTCGCGCGGCAACAGTAAGGTCTTTCCTCGCCGCTTAATTAATCGAGAACGCTGTCGCGAGTCTTGAAGGAAAGGATAGTCCCGTACGCGAAGTAATAAACAGCGTTTACGTAAATTAGTCGCGAGTGAACGCGAATCAAGTTGTTTTCGCCCGAATCACGCATTCTTTAAATGCACAAGTTGCATAGCGTGTATTCTCTATTGATACGACTTTATTTTCGGCGAATTCGGAAGTACGCGACGCGGATCGGCCGACGACGTTCCGCGCTTTCGGAAAATGGGTTCCCAATTGATTCGTTGCGTGACGAGACGGTCGCGCGAATTGACCAACGTCTTTTCGTGACACCGTACGCGACGGAGACGCGTCCGAGTAATCGCGTTACGCGTAATTTGATTGTGTGCGAGCGAGAACGTGTGAGTGAGTGTAGTGTGCGCATGTGAGCATTAAGATACTACAATAAACATTTAAAAATCGAAAACGAGACATCAGTAAGCGCATCTTCACCATCTCCCGCTTCGTACCTGCATGTGGTCGTATCACAAATAATTCCGGGGCGAGAAATCCAGAGGCAGTCTACCCGAAC